AGCTTGTATACCGATAACACCATAAAAATATTGCTGTGCATCATTTGAGTACCGACGGTATTCCACCCCAAATATCCGTAGCACCAAAGTGTTAAAATGCTGGAGGAAGGTAATGCATAGGGCAATAGCACTGTGACAGCGAATCTCCTCATAGCTTCTTTAGAGTGCAAAGAAGACTCCAAATACCAAACAATCCAAGGGAGAGAACTCGTGTTGCATGCATCCCACTGCATACAATCAGTAAGAAGTCCTGCCGATCACTGATAATTGCATCGGCAAAATGCATTCCCCTCGAGGGTTAGTCTCACTACTTCTTTGCGCATGCAGAAAACATTCTTTTGGTATAAGGCGGCCACTGAGCTGCAGGCGAGATGTGGGAAAGTAGAGAGACTGATAATGCCACAATTGCTCTCATCCGAAAATCTTACAAATAATGAAAATGAAATCAGTTAACGATAGTTCCCAATTCCACTAAATGGCCATGGTTAGGCTTAGGTTTCGACTACACACTACTGGTGGATGGGGCACTATATTTCTGGTGGTGAGTTAAGCATGCACGAGATTGAAGATATACCTAGTTAAGAGCTCATGGAAAATTCGTTAATAAATTTTGTGGCAATGCTTCAATTAGAGACCCTAGATTAACTCTCATTTTGCTCTCAAATTTGGGCATTTAGATTTGAAATTGTAGGGGTGATAATCTTTATGCTTTTCAAATTAACCTCCTGTAAAAAATGCTCACTTCATCCTACATTAGTCGATTTGTTATGGGAAGCAGAAGCACAGCAGCAAACGGATTAGGGTTTTAAATGTGGCCAACGAAACAATGTCCAGTCTAATGGATATAAAGCCAAAGACTCAAGTACTATGTGGTGAGACTCAACGCTTCTTACTCAGCCAAATTCAGGTCGACCTATTCACACATGCATTTTGAGCCACATGCTGTAGTGAGGTCAAATAAGAGATTGACTCATAGAACAGACTTGTGACATAATAACTCCCTAGCAATGGACACCAAAGGCGACATCCAAGGCAGCATCTGCGAGAACACTGTTAAGTACTCCTGTAACTTGAATCTCTATGTCCATTACGACGCCCCTACCATAACATTGTTTACCTAGTCACACCAAAATGAGGGAAATTATTCAGACTATTTTAATTCCTGCATAAAAACAATAAAATACATTTAACCGTCATCTACTTCGTTAATAAAACATTAGCATTTCTGCCTAGGGACATGAGATAGTATAAAAGAAATTAGTCATTCGAAACAGCACACATGTCACACATGTGTGACGACACAACACAATTACTTTGAGGAGCTTGGAAATCGTTTCATAGAAGCGCTGCCCTCCACTCGGGGACAAGGAACAGCAGTTTGAAGATGGCGGTTGCCTGTTCGTGTACTATTTGTTCCAGGGGATCCTGAATCTGGACGGAGGAAGAGAGAAAAGAATACCGTCGGATTCAAGGACTGGAATGTGGGAATGTGCTGTGAATTGGATAACCCGTGTCGA